CCATAAGTACAAGGACCAGTCATAACTACCACTCATTCAGCACTGCCATAAGTTTGAACGGTAACCGAACAAGTGGTTGTTAAACAAGGACCACCTGTATATGCAGCCATAAATGAACCCTGAAAATAAGGAAAATATTACTGTTATGCACAGATATCTTTATGAGCCGGTGTTATGCTTATGCTGGACTGCATCAATCCCAATTTTAATATGCAAAAAGGTGTAAATGATTTATCAATAAAGACAGGAGTCATGAATATATTGTGAAGAATTAACATGCTTAAAGTTTTTTTAAAAATTACTGGAGTGCAAAAATGCAGGCTTTTTAAAAGACAAATTGAACAGCAGCATGACAACATAAACATCAAGATTTGAAATACACAATGCAAATCTTAAATGCATTTTAAATATTTATTTCTCAACTTTGGAAACAATTCATTTCTTAATTTTAGAACCAATTAAAATTGGGGATTAATTAAAATTTGCTACTTCCAAGGTACTACTTTATTTTTTAAAATTTTATAAGTATTGAAATATAGGACCCAGACTTATCTACAATATCCACAATGAGTTAGTGGCAGTGAAATTCACAATCAGAATTACAATTATAAAAATAAAATATAATTTTATAATTCAAAAATGAGAATGATTTTTTGTTTTGTTTTGTACATATATTAGGAGTAGATGGCTTGCAATTCTTCAACACAAAAAATTCTCACCATGCACAGTGCATATAACATGGGATTTGTTACATAACAGCATTAAAAAAAGATCCTAAGCAAATTATTTAAATATTTGGCTATTTTTATGTCCCAACATATAAAATATAATTTCAGAAGTATACATGATGGAAGAAAGATATAAAAAATCAGGGAATCTTCTAAGAGAAATTGACTTGGGGCTCAAGTTCTACACATGGAAGTCTGTGAAACGTACATGAGCTTCAATAAGTTCTCCAAGTACATTCATCACCAGGAAGAAATTCAGCTCCAACAGAATTACTAAATTTATATGCCCTGATCAGTTCCATACATCACAACTTCAACCAGCTTTACAGGCACTATTGATATTAGATTTATAAGGTTTAATCAAGGTTCTTAATATACATTTCTTCACCTCTGGATTTTGCAGTCCACCTATTATACATAAACCATATTACTGCAAGATCTATCTGCACTTGGAAGAAAGTATTTGGCCATTTGTAAGGAATTTATCCAGCAAGCAATTCACAAACTCTAAGGGTCACCAATTTTGTTTTCAAACCCAGAATCTCAGTTCAGAGACATCATTAACTTGGTGAGTTGTAGTACAGCCTAGCAGAAATTTGTAGACTGTATGTATGTATGCATGCATGCATGCGTGTGTATCTATGTGTATGAATGTGTGTGTGTGTATATGTATATATTTCATAGAGTGCTAAATAATGGCCCAAAGATACAGATCAATCCTATTACATCTTATTACCTTAGCCTTAATCTAAAGAACCTTATACCTAATTCCAATCTATGTGTATGAATGTGTGTGTGTGTATATGTATATATTTCATAGAGTGCTAAATAATGGCCCAAAGATACAGATCAATCCTATTACATCTTATTACCTTAGCCTTAATCTAAAGAACCTTATACCTAATTCCATACATCAAAAGAGTTTTCAAAATAATTCCCGAACTTCAGCAGATGGCAAGCATCTTTTGAAGCTAACAAAGTTTCAAAAACAAAGTTGTGATATGGCCTGTGATCTGCCATTCAAAGGAAAAAGAGAGTCAAGGCACACTGGGCACATCCAGGCCTAAATTAGGAATATGATCTAAGCCCTTCTCTCTAAATTCATGTGTCTTTATACAAAATCATGTAAACCTGTAACAGCAACAAAAAGACTTCAGCAAACCATGCTGCAGAAAAGGTTTTAGACAGAATGGATCAGTGAAGGTGCAGGTGTTACAGGTTTTAAACCAACACTGAACCATAATGAAAACAGACACTGAAGTCCTCTGAAAAGTAAACATTTAGATGCATAAATATTCCCTCATAATTAGATTTAATTACCGTAGTCTAAATTTTTGACAACTTAATCTAAACTAAAACAGCATTATTCAGCTTTTTTAAAGCCTTTGGCACCCATTATGGGAAGCAGCAGGAAGCTCTACTGACTTCTGCTTTCACTTTTACACTGCGTGGCAGTATCAACCAAAGGTCATTTCATCCATCTTCCCAGTAATATGCTCTTTCTGCTTCCTTTGTCACTGTGTCATGAAATGTACCTCTTGGCTTTTTGAAAATGACCTGCACAGACACGTGCCTCTCTTTATATAATTTCATCATAAATATGTGGTTTGTATAAACTCATTTCCTTAAAGCACTTTCCACAAACAATCCAGACTCCAATGTTTCTGAACAAATGAAAAGGGCACATACAAAAATAAATTTTAAAACCATTCTATCTCTGCAATGCCATTCAGCTACTCAGTATATTTAAGATGATATGTAGAGTACAGAAATTGAACATTTACTAGCCAATTTGCTTCATTCTCCTTTTTTTCAGGTGAGCAGTTAAGTACAGGAAGTACACCCATTATGCCTATTAAAACATTTCACAGTCATGTCAGAGCATGCTATAGTAGACAAGTTCATGACAGGATTTTTACGGAAAGACAGACTTGCACATTTACAAATACACAATTAGCTTTTAGAAAAGTGACACTTAACTGATTTAAACACACCAAACTACAGGTGACAGAAAATATTTAATAATGATCTATTATCTGACCTAAATTAGTAAAAAATGACTCTACTGAAAACTTCACTGTTCTTAAGTTCACTGTTAAACTTAAAATAGCATGGAAACAATCCATGTTATATCATACTTACATTCTTTTATAGAAAGAAGACCAATTGTGCAAATGTATGCTTCAGGCTTAGAACTCTGTCCTTATACTTAAGCATTGACTTGTTTAATCTTTTTAACTCAATGAATAAATGTTAGAACTGAGCCATACTTAGGCTGGTGCAGATATAATGCTAGCCAAACATTACTGATGGTTAAGATATGGAAACTGGCCATTGAATCATGTGTTCAATTCATTGCTCCTCCCCTCTCACACTTGGGAGTTGTCCATGCCTTTAGTAATGAATTAATGTCATACACATTGCTCAAAAGAATACTATCAACTGGTTTTTAACAAGGACATTATCTATAGTGGCAAAAAAGTTTGAATCCACCTTCATTTACTATGTCCCCCAAACAGTTTAGAATCATGCTTTCTATACTAGAATCACCTTTTGAAAAAAGATGTACTGGTAGAGTAGGAAAGGTTAAATGGTGAGAAAATAGGAACTCTGTCTTGATGGAAACCTAACTTTATGGATGGATTTAGAAGAGAAAAATCTAAGCAAGTGAGGTTAAAATGTTTCTCTTTGTCACTTTAATTGTGTGTGTGTGTGTGTGTGTGTGTGTGTGTATTAGGACAGGGCTATTTATTATTAATAATAACATCAAGATTTTTGCTAAGCAGATTAATAGTAACATCACAATTTTTGCAAAACATGAATGAAGTATCTCAACTATAGCGTCAATGTTTACATGGCTGCTATAAAAGCTGCCTCTAGCTGTCTCTCTATATGCACGCACTGCCACTTCACTTCATGGTTGTCCCGGTGGAACCACATGTACATACAACCACATTTTCCTGTCTCCTCAGATATATAGAATAAAAAAGCCATAAAATATAATTAGAGCATAATACATTGTTCCCTATTAGGCTATAATCCACTCATTTATCTCTTTACTTTTTTCTTTAGCACACCCCCTGCAAATAAGGATTTAGCCTATGATACTTCTCAATTTAGTTGTAGCCAAGATATTCACTATTCTTAAGCATTCAGAATTCAGAAACAACTTAACACAGGCTACCCCCTTTTTGAAATAAAGAAATAATAATTTAAAAATAAAGAAAAATCAAGGGTGGAGTTTTTTCAACATGGAAAGCAGAGATATTTGAGGGTGAATTAACCCATCTAATCTGAACTGGCCTCAAACTTTAAATTCCTCTGCATTCATACCATCTCACTAGAAACAATGGGCATTTCAACTCCAAACCCCACTTTAATTCTTCAAAATGAAAATATCCTATATGTGATGTTTGTATATCAATGCTTAAGAATAATAGTTTCCTCTTATGTTGAGAGTTGAGTATGTAAATGCCATTTTACATTTTATTTTCTACTACTGCTGTATTGCAGAGGCAGAGACCATTTTTTTACTATTCAGTGTTCCTATATATGAGTGAATGCCCATATTTACAAAATTAGTCCAAACACAAGATTATTTGCATAGTATTTCTGGAAGTACAATGCAAACTCTTAAGGAGTTACAGCATGTGACCTTAAATTATTTAACTTTATTTAGAGTTAAACAATTATTGTACAATTTCATAATTTCAAATTTGATAAAGTTCTTTTTAGTAGAACGTTCTTTTACAGGAACAGAAAGCAAAACACATATTGTCAGGCACTGTAAGACCCTAATAGCTGAAAAGATATGTGAGTGTGTCATCTCTACCTCCTCCAACCCCAACGTGAATGGGAAAGGCTGCAGAGAACTTCTGATCATACAGAGAACTGCAACTATTAATATATCCTCTAACCCCAAATAATTAGCTATGAATGATGATGCGGCATTTTACATTTGCTGATAGTAGAAAATGCTATGAAAACAAAGGAATTAGCATGAAGTACAAATAGCTGAGGGTATCATGCTACAAAGCCTGAATGCCTGTGTGTGTGTAGGTGCCTTTGAGTCAGTGTTGATTCCTGGTGACTTGATTCTTGGTGAGATTTTGGAAGTGGTTTGCCATTGCCTGCTTCTTAGGGCTGAGAGAGGGGGACTGGCCCAAGGTCACCCAGCTGGCTCTGTGTGCCTCAGGCAGGACTAGAACTCACAGACTCCCAGTTTCTAGCCTGATGCCTTAACCACTACACCAAACTGGCTCTCTCTTTGAAGATTAGCTTAAATTTAAACATTTTAACCCTAACTGGTTCTCTTTTTTCTTTTCTTTTCTTTTCTTTCCTTCTCTGTCTAGCAACCTCTTCCCACCACCTAATCTCTATCCAGTCTTCTCCCACCCTTTCTCTTTCTTTCCACTCCTAGTGCAGGCATCCCTTCATCTTATTCTATATTCATCTGGTTCTATTACATATTCTTTGTTGGCTTCTGCTGGAAAGAAGGAAGGGAACAAATACATCTGTGTACTTGAATGTTTCTGTACGTGATGGGGTGTTATATGTAAGTGTGAATGTTGGTATGGGGATCAATTAATGTTGTGAATGACATACCTAATTTTACAGGCAATAAGTTTTCATTAGTAGTTATTAATTCAATTAAAATACAAGTATTTCTTGTCAAGCTGCTACTCTCCTCCTCCCTTTGGTTAAATACAGCCTTACTGGGATCCAGATCCACAGTGAATTTCAAAAAGTTTAATCACCCCAGTATAGCATAAGAAAAATATAACCGTAGCTTTATGGCTGTTTGGCAGAAGGGGATGAATTCTAGAGCAAACCTATCTTTTCACAAGGAGATGGCATGTGCTAAATGTGACAGAACACTGGCAAAGGGGAAAACTTCGCTATTTTGGGACACACTATTACATTTCAAAACTGATAGCACTTATAGTGAGAAATGCTCCTCCAAAATTTCATATAGGTAAATTAAATGGGTTTTGTGGAAAAGGAGAGGGTATTTGCAGGATCTTATTTCAAAATAGTTGGTGGAATGCTGAACAACTTTATGAATTATGCTTTAGGGGTTATGGTTAAACTCCTTTCTTTGTTCCTTCCCTTCAGTCTCTTTGCTTCGCTTCCCATTTTAATTAGCAATCAGATATGTTTTTATTTAATTTTACTTATTAATATTCTTTTCTGAAGTGTCTTGACAGTGCAAATAATAGATTATGTGATTTATACATCATATAATCTACTGTGTATAGATTACATATGTCATATCTTATATGACAATCAGGATGCACTGTAACTTTTCAGTCCTAGCCCTTTCCTATACTGTAATCTCTCATGCTTCCCAGAAAAGTCACACGTAAGTATGACAATAATTGTGGTGAAAAAGCTGCAAGTAAAAAAAAGCAGATCACTGTACATGAGGAAAAATATTCTGAAAATACATTTTAGGATATCCATTGGGGGAAAAAAATCAAGTTTTTCTTTCCTAAACATATATATTTGGAATTAAGGTCTGTTGAAAACAAGTAAACAACTTTGATAAAAAAGCAATCCATTTACCAATCCATTCATTTAAGGATAAATCTGAACAGAACATGGATTTTTCTTTTAACTGCTAACATGTAATGTAAGCCATCACAGACATTTCATGTGATCTCATATCTGAGGGAGAATGTTTAAGGAAGGCAATTAATACGTACAGTTGCAACTACCAAGTGATAAAATTGCATGAGTATCTGAAATAGCCATAAGACCTGATGACAAATTCTAACGGGAGAAATCAGGAGTGTGGGGCCCATTCTGCAAGTGTGTTTTTGAAGCACCTATTGCTGAAGAACATTCTCACTAAAAATAGTGAATTTATGCTGCAATCCTTTATCACACTTATACTATTAAACTTAATAGGGCTTATTCCCAGTCATAAGATTGTGCTGCTAGTAAAGTGCTGGTGCCAGAGAAAGAAGGTGGCAATATACAATATAACTTTCCCAATCTCTTCTAAGAACTGCCCCTCCCCGAGTCTAGAAATCTGCAATATCTGTAATACCTGGCTTTGATTCACAACTTTATTCCATCTACCATAACTTCCCTAAAACACAGTGTTCATCTGCCAATCTACCTACACAGTCGCATAAATATTTTCTTGTTAAATAAACTTTGCTTATGCTCAGAGCTAGGAAGAAATTGAACCAGAGCAAACACACTCAAGACCGGGCTTTTGTAAAAACACACACACACACATTTACATATTCTGTATGTTACTTATATAACCACAGGTAGTCCTTGCTTAACAAGCATTCATTCAGCAACCATTTGAAATTATGATGGTGCTGAATGAATTGTAGTTACAACCGGTCTTCAAAATTATGGCTGTTGCAGCGCCTCTGTGGTCATGCGATTAAAATTTGGGTGCTTGGCAGCCCACAGGCATTTACAACCGCAGCATGCCTCATCAGCAGTGGGAGGAAGAAGATGGTGGAGGTCAGCTGTAGTGGTGGGGTAGGTGGCGGTGGTGGAATGCAAGGTGGACAAAAGGGCACAGATGGAGGGAGAAAGGCAGGTTGGGGGGAGTTGAAGCGGAGGCAAGTGTGGCAAGCAAGAGAAGTGTGAGATCCTCATCTAATGACTGCAACCAAGACTACAAGAACTGCTGTCACTAAGTGGTGGGGTCACATGATATTTTGCCTAATGACCACTTCTCTTAGTGACAGAAATTCCGGTCCCAATTAGGGTTGTTAAGCGAAGACTACCTGTAATCTTACTTGTGTGGTTTAGTTCTAAAAATAGTCCCTTTCACTTTTTTTAATGCATTTCAATTTTTTCTAGATGTGAATTTTTAAAAGTAATTATAAGCTATATAGTGGTCCCTTTAAAACACATCAAAAGCAACTATAGGTATATCTATTAAGAGCCTCAAAGTAAGCTCCAAAATGAGTTCACCATCAGATTCTCAATGGAAATACCAGGAAAAGGCAATGGAGACACAGTTTCTACAAGTGTTTAGAAACTGCTTAAAAATAGTTGCCAAAATTGCTATTTTAAAAACATATCCTAACTCAGACAAGCATTAAGACCTATCTTTATTTATCCCACCTACCCTTCAAAGAAAAGTGCTGGAAGAACACATTCAGAAAAACAATTACATTTAGATGTAAAAGGTGAAGCAAAAATTCACAAGTTTGCTTCTTCTATGAGAAGGAATATAATATTATTTGGTGGTGGAGAGAAAAAGGCCTCAAGAGAAGAGTGCTATACAGAAAAACAATTGTGTCTATATTATACAGTACTGAGTATACCAGCAAGATATATTAAGAATGGCTGTAATCAAATAGATCGGAAACAATATACATTCAACAAGATTTACAATGGTTTGCTTGCTTGCTTTCTCTCTCGCTCTCTTTTCTTTCTTTCTTTCTAAAATTTGTTCTATAAATGTGTTTAAAAAAAATCTGACAGAATGCCCATGAATTCATTTGATGTTATTTTAACTGCTCACCTGATATAGGTCAAAACACAATAGGTTATATTAATGCTTATATTTCATTTGCCTTGAGATACAAAGTTGCTTTCACTCTACAATATTAAGCAGACAGTTTTACTGCAACTGAGTAAAATCACAGGCATTATTTTAGAGGAACATGCAGAACATGAAGTTTTCTACTTGGCTCCATGAACTTACAAGCAATATAGGCCCAACAGAAGCAAATATTCTTTGCTAATCTTAATCTTCAAAGCTGATCACCGACATCCTTCAAGTGTTCCTGTCAAAGCATCAAGGCTGCTGTCTGTGTCTGAAGCCAATGTTTGTTCTGTTGACATGGATGAAATGTCGTTGACTGATGATGACTGAGAAGGGCTGGTATTGCTATTCACTGCTGCATCTGTGCTAAGTAAACCAAGCATAAGAAAATCTGAGGCAAGACATGGTTGAAAGTATAGGTGTTTTATGTGGCATAAAGGCATGTGCATTTAAAAACATACATGAAAATACAATGCCAATTAAAAGATTTTCCCATCTAAGGTAGTCTCTAAGGTAGCAAAACTGGGCAGAATGTAGGGAAGATACATGGTCAACATAGAAACAAATGTACTTTTATTAAATAATATTTTGTGAAAGTTTAAAAAATGGATTTTAAAACAAGTTCACTTACAGTACTGTGCAAATGTTTTAGGCAGGTGTGAAAAAAATGCTGTAAAGCAAGAATGCTTTCAAAAATATATATTGTAATTGTTTATGTTTATC